GTAAGTAGGTCGGTAACCTTAGATTCTTTGAGAAACGGAATACTTCAAACATCAATATCCCACCCACTATCTAGTAACGTAACCGGCAACCGAGCGTTCCACCTCACGCGTTTTGACCATGGCTAAAAAGTCTACCTAATTCAACCACCAACCATGCCACCAAAAGCGCTTAAAAATTCAAAAGAATTAATTGAAAAGGAAGACAGAGCTCTACTTGCTATCTCAGCTATTAAAAAGAGGAGGATTCCTTAGTATCCTGGGTCCTATTACTAGATTAACATGGAGCGCCTCCCCGGTCTGCGTATGTACGAGAAATGGCCAATATTCTGCTTGTTAAATGTGGCGATCCTATACCTACTACTGTAGGTCAGAAATGGGTATCTCATCTAGTTCAGCGCAGAGATGAGCTGAAATCCCGCTTCTCTCGCCGCTACAACTATCAGCGCGCTAAATGCGAGGATCCTAAGTTTCTATGTGAGTGGTTTGAGCGCGTACAGATTACAATAATGCAGTATGGTATTCAACCGGATGATATCTACAACTTTGATGAAACTGGCTTTGCAATGGGCTTGATATCTACTGCTAAAGTGGTTACTCGCGCTGAGTTAGCTGGTAGACCTTTTTTTTTTCTACAGCCAGGGAACCGGGAATGGGTCACTTCTATCGAGTGTATTAGATCTAGAGGAGCCCTTCCACCTTGCCTTATCTTTAAAGGTAAGGTCCATATTGAGGGCTGGTATGAGATGGGTCTACCACTAGACTGGCGTATAGAAACGAGTGCAAATGGCTGGACTACCGGCGAGATAGGTCTACGTTGGCTGCTGCAGCTATTTATACCTCTTACTACTAGCCGTACAGTTGGTCGATATCGGCTTTTAATACTCGATGGCCACGGCAGTCATTTGACACCTTAGTTTGACGATATATGCAGTCAAAACGATATTATACCGCTCTTTATGCCTGCGCACTCATCTCACCTACTTCAGCCGCTTGATGTAGGCTGCTTTGGCCCCCCAAAACGCGCGTACGGACAGCTGGTTGAGAATAAGATGAGATTAGGCTTCAACCATATCGATAAACTTGACTTTCTTGAAGCCTTTCCTCAGGCGAGAGCTCAGATATATACTACTAGTAATATCTGCAGCGGTTTCTCAACTACTGGTCTTATTCCTTTTAGTCCTGACCGCGTATTATCTCAGCTGAATATTCAGCTGGAAGCAACACCTCCAGGTAGTAGACCTAGTAGTAGGTCTACTAATTCAGTGCCTAAAACGCCTCATAATCTAAAGCAACTACAAAAGCAGGAAACTACACTGAAGAAGCTGCTTAGAGCTCGTACAAAGAGCCCTGACTCGCCTACTAAGGTTGTGATAAAGCAGCTTTTTAAAGGCTGTGAACGAGCTTTAAATGAAGCTACTATTGCAAAGCAGGAAGCTAAGGAACTACGCGCCGCGCATGAAAGAATGCTTAAAAAGAAAAAGCGCTCTACTAGACAGCTTCCTATAGAATCAGGTGCTTCGGTTCAGGAAGCTCAGGAGCTTATACAAGGCAGGAATTCTACTAATACAGCTATATCTACTATCTTAGTAGATATAGGCACTGTGGTAGAAAACCAGCGCATACGCGCCCCACCAAAGTGCTCTGGTTGCGGTATTCTAGGCCATCAAATTACTTATTGTCCTAATCGTCAGACTATTTAAATTTTCTATAGAAATGCAGATTTTTCGGTGTTTTGAATAACTTCAATTCTAGGAGGCGCGAAAAAACGCGTGGGTCTACCGGGTTGCTTACCGGCTACGTTACTGCTGAACATTTTCTTAGTCATTCAAGAAACCCAGTGCTCAACCAAACCACTAACCTTTTAAAGAGGACGCTAGATGTGTCAAAATTAGGCTTGACAATACCCATACACAGTATCTAGAGCACGTAATACAACCCGTAACAGCAATTTACAATCCGTATTTTTGGGACGTGAATTCGATGTAACGTAATGTATGTTTTGTGGCGTTGCAATGTTTTGTATTGGGAGGAAAGATTATGTACTGTAATATATTCATGTAAAGCATTCAGTCAAATGTGTTTCACTCCATTATGAAGTTGGCATCCAATGGAATCTTACTTTACTCATAGGCCAGGTCAGATCCCATAGATTAAACAGTGCCATTTTTCATATGTACAGTATATTGGCGCGTCTTACTGAACTGTGTTATGCTTCCTATTATTCTTTGGGCACTAGCTGTGTAGGTGCCTCCCACTTGGGATTCTTAACGCAACTGTTCGTGCTTCAGAGTCCTTATCAC